TGAGTTTGGTACAGTACGTTAAAAAAAAAAAACAAGCAGTCTGGTTCATTTAGTACGGTGCCTGTTTGAACAGGCCCGTTCGAACGCCAGGTGACACGGCCTTAGCAAGCATTGTTACCAAGGGGCAACCACAACCGAGGTTCCACGCCCGCATCATCGCTTTATCGCTTTGAGCCGGCATCAACCGTTATCGTCACTAGATTGTAGAGATAGTAACGCATATAATATAATGCATATGATTATACACTTCATGAATACAACATTGACTATTATAACGTTATTTGTGAAGGCGACTGTAGGGGTTAAGCTCAGGATTTTTTAGCCTTGGGTAAAGGAAGGAGAGAGGCCATCTGATCTAACTCTCAAGGTGATGGTGATCAGGACCAATAACACCTTCATGAAGAAAGATAGGAAAACTTTGCTATGAAAGATGCTATTATTTGATGAGGAGCGTTTTGTCGTCGAGATGGTCATGTCTTGTGGCCAGAGTCCGAAGGATCTGGCCGATGTGATGTGGAAGCATTGAATGATTTTGCAACAAGTCTTTCCATTTGAAAGAGTATATTAAGTTCATCGCATCAATGGTTCGCGTTCACACAACGGTTGGTAAGTTTAGTATGCACTTGAGTATATATACATTAATTCATATAAATAGTTGCAATAATATATGCAATTTGTACGGATCTCAAAGGCCTTGATATGCAGCTGATCTAGATACATTGTTGTTCATTCATGGTGGAGGATAGGAGAGCGTGCAGCTGACTATAGTGGATGTTCCCACTCTAACGCTCATAAACTTCTTTGTGATGGGCGACGTCTCTAGGGTAAGAACCAATTTATACCTTAAACAAGTTAGTTGTATTCATGTTAGTTGTAATCACGTTCATTCCATAGAGCTATTTTTTACTCATGTTCTCCATACAACATCTTTTTGTACTTGTTGCTTAAAACATTGTCTGTATGGTTTTGTTTCATCAGTTGTGGTTGATGTTCTTACATTGGAGGAGATGATTATTGGCACACCAATATTTTTTGAATTATTTGGCATACCAATACTTATTGAATTGTACCTATAATTACCATTGAAGTTTGTGTTTTCTACTCATAATGTTTTTTATCTTCTTAACAACTTTTCACCATTCTATATTACCAGATCCATTCCGTTTTTGTCAAGCTCAAAGTCTCGTCATTTGAGACGGCGAGTAGATTGCCTAAGCCCACTGCTTGCATCAACAAATTGTCACTTGAGAGCGTTTTGGTTTTGCTGGGGAACGCTGCCACACGGATCTACCACTGGTGTAAGACACACTTGGAGGAATGACGTGATGCTATTGACTTGCCAGTTTACATTAGCAACGTTTATCTAAAGCCAGCATTGTTCATGACAACTTTTGGGTGTTGGCATTTTGACCCTCGACGAGCGTCGAAGATCAAAGATGCTCCCGACACAGAGGAACAATAAGATGTTGTTCTCGTGTCTCTCAAAACGAACATAACATGCACATTTTGTGATTTTATAAATGAGAAGTTTGTTAGTAATATTTTGGTTTTCCGTAATCAGGATGAGTCATGTGGACACTGGTGATGACAACGAAGAAAGAGAAGATAGCCTCTTCTAATTGAAATCAAGGATCATTTGCACAATTGTCGAATTGTGTACAAGTGTGGTTCGAGAGATTCTATCCGAAGACTCCTTATCTTCATATCGTGTGTTTCACTCGAGCATTCGTGCTCGAAGCATGGATCCACGTTGATCATCAGGATCGATAACACCACTGTCATTCTTGCCGTACAGGAGTGCGTTAAGCATCGTACCTATACTTTCTTTATGTATGATTTTGTACGTATTGTTCAAGCATTAAGTCGTGTTTTATTCTGTGTTGTTTACTTTAAGCGTCATACACGAACCAAGCCTATGGCTTGGTGATTCAAACGAGCATCTTGACAAAATTAGTCTTGCACTTCCGAATGTCCACATTTCTCTTTTTGCCTTCGGATGAGCGCCAACACCTATTGGGTGCTGTTCAAGGTCATTGACTCGTTAAGATATGTGGCTATGTTTTTAAGGTTTAGGCCATTGTGACAATTCTAGTATTTTACAAACACTTATAATCTTTCCCGTTTCGGGTTCATTTTGGTCTTGAGGAAGGTGAGCGTGTCAACAAGAACATACTTGATATTATAGGTGCCACGTGGTCAAGTGACACCTTTGTCAACTTTAAATCCTCGACCATCCAACCATCCTCAACACCTACAAAGAGGAGATTTGACATACGTGGGATGATAAATATTATATTGTTGTTTTAGTCGTTTCATCAATTTCGGTGTAATGCTTTCGTTCGCAGCTGCTGCCCACCTCCAGGTGCAGAGCCCCACGCTCAGCACCCCCATGCTCAGCACCCCCAGGCTCAGCACCCGCAGAACCAATACCACAGCGTCAGCACCTCCAGAGCCCACACCTCCAACGCCACCACCTCCAGTAGCACTGGAGCTCACGACGACAGGCAGCAGAGGTGGCAAAGACGGTTGAGGCGGAAAACCAGGAGGGTCTTTAAGCATGGGGAGCGGCGAGATGGCGCAGTGTCGTCAGCACCAGGGTCACCCCCCTCTGCCGAGCTAGAGGAGACCTCCAAAGGCTCAACCAAGGGGGGTGGTGTGACCTGAGACACACCTGAGAGAGCAGGACAAGAGGGGGGGTGGGGGTCTACCAGAAGTTAACCTGGAACCAAGAAGAGGGGCGGCGGAGGGACATGAGAAGACACATGGGGGAGGAGACAATAGTAGCAAACCGACTCGTCAAAGGTGACGTCTTGGGAAGATAGGACACGACGTGCGGCTGGGTGGTAAAACTGCAAGCCAGCCGCGTCGGTGGGAAAACCAAGGAAGACGCAGCGAACTGTGCGAGAAGAGAGCTTGTCCACTGCAATATCGCGGACAAGGGCCATCGGACCCCGGACATGAAACGCCGATGCATCGCGAACCTCCCCCGTGCAACATAGGGTAGGCGAGGTCTCCGGCACGGAGACACGGGGCCAAAGATTGAGCTAATGCGCAGCGTATCGAACTGCAAACGGCCACAGAAAATGGGGAGCAGCCGCATGGATCATGGAGGTGCGAGCAACCTCCATGATCAAGCCAATGCGCCACTCAACAATCCCATTCTGCTGTGGAGAAGCCGGAAGCGTGAACGACTGGGTGATGCCCTCCTCACGACAAATGTCCTTAAGGAGACCGGAGGAAAACTCACCTCCACGGTCAGAGTGCAGACGGAGAACCGGGAGGTTCTGGTGGAACCGTGCGCTCAGCTGGAGACGAACAGTGTAGATCTAAGTGATCAAGGCACTACAAACATCGCCCTTGTTCCGCAAGGGAAACACCGTGGTGTAGCGCATGTAGTCGCCCCGGCCCAGGGACGGGAGCAGGGCCCTGCACACGTCCATGTGCAGGGTCGGCAAAGGAGCCTCTATCGGAGGGAACGAGGAGGAGTGAGGAGCGGCGCGCTGCCGCCTCTCGATGCAGGGAGTGCACGGCGGTGCGAGCGACGGAGGGAGCGGGGGCAGGGACCTCGGAAGGTCCGAAGCAAGGAGACGCGAGTGAATGGGAGACAGACGCTGCAAGGAGGGGTGACCAAGACGGTGGTGCCAGAGGAGGGACGGGTGCGTGAGCGACCGACACGAGCACAACGCAGCTACCTCACCGGACCCAACAAAGTGTGCAGTCCGTGTGAGCTCGGATGACAAGCTCGGCGACAGCGTCATGCTCCTTCCAATGTGTGTATGCAAGGCTGTCCGCCCCGTACCGCCATTGCGCGTCTTCGCCAGTGTCAGCAGCAGGCTCGGTGGGAGATGTGTGGCACTGAAGGAAACCTGACGTGTGTTTGAGCAAGGAGACGCTATTTATAGTGAAGAGCCTGAGATATCTGTGCAGGCACATAAGCCAGAACTCAAACTTGAAAGGGCGGCCGTGTGTGTCAACCATTAAGACTGGGAGAAAGGCCATGACCAGCAGCAGCAGTCAGCAGCAGCGGCAGTCAGTAGCAGAAGCAGTCAGCAGCAGCGGCTGAAGGGTGGCATGGCAGTTGTAGCGGTAGAGCCAGGTGGAGCAGTAGCTGCAGGGCAGCGGGGCGTGCAGGCGCGAAAGCAGCAAGGCTGTAGCTGCAGTAGCAAGATTGTAGCGGTGTTGGCAATGGCTGCAGTGGCGACAGCAGGGGCTGTAACGGCAGCAGCAGGGCTGAAACAGCGCAGCAGCGAAGCAGTGGGCTGCAGGCCTGCAGGGCAGGGTAGGGCAGCGTGCGCTGGACAGTATGCAGAGCGGTCGGCCAGGCTGCAGGGCGGGCAGCAGGGCGGGCGGGAGGGCTGCAGGGTGGGCGGCAGCGCAAGGCAAGGCAGCGCGGGGGCAGAGCCTGGGCAGCGCACTGCTGCTACGGGCAGCAGAAGGGGCAGTGCGTTTAAAAAAATAAGGTCCTTAAGGACCACCTGCTCTATACCATGTTGAACTTTGACTATGTGTGTATTAGGTCAACAAGGAGATACAAGTAGAGTGTCGAGAAGTTTGTGTGTACCCTCTGATGCTAGCCCCTACATTAACTAGGAACAAATATAGATGTTTATGTTTTGACATGTAGCTCTGTGTAGTAGTCGCACTCAAATTGTGACGATAAGGTGAAATCTTCAACGTATTTTGCCTTTTATGGTACTGTGTATTCATGAGTATCCGGTGGTACGAATGCGGACACGAGGGTCTCAAAGAAGCATACGTCAAAACTTTCTGTGAGCGAATTTAACCAGGTCATAAGGTCCGTCCACAACAAGGATCGTGGGATGAAACCAAATATCTGTTGCGAAGAATCGAGAACATCGGCAGTGCAAGTCCATCACGCCTTCAGTAATGTCCTGCTATTGCTGGCTGAGGAGCTCCCATATTTCACGAAGCGCGCTGGATTGGGCTGAATGAAAATTTGAGCACAGGTGTGCGCAATTGGACTTCGATTCGACTCTCGAATGGTGAGCGCAGGTGTGGCTATAAATCGACGACCTTCCACAGAATCTATCAGTCAGCCAACGTCCCTTCCGAACAACCGCATAAGTAAACCCGTCTACTCTACAAAGTTTGTCAGAATTTTGCCGAAGTTAATCCTCGTGGTGGTCTTTTCTTGCGAATCTCTGAGAAGCGAAGAAGCTCATGGATGGCAACTTCTAAACCATAATGGCGACAGCCATCAATGTAAGACATGCTCATGCGGCCGCGAGGAAAACAGTGAGTCTTGCTTTCCATAGTCACATCAGAGGCTTGAAGCCTTGAACTTTTACTAACATCACATCCGCATTCCATTTCTCTTCCCAATCGCCCCTTGCAGCCGGATTCAAGACCCGACCTTCATTCGCGCCGTCGCTTCTCTTGCCTGGGTTCTCTGGCGACACGGGCAGACCCTTGCTTGATGCTCCACTACCACGTAAAATGTAGGACCAGGGGTACGAGAATAAAAAGATGTGGCAGAACCAGGAGTAGCCGTTAACGAATATGAAGAGGGGAAGATCACAGAGAAGAAGCAGCAGCAAAAGTGGACAAGAAATAAGTGGAAGTGGCAGCAAATGCAAAAGAAGCAGCAGCCCAAGACGGTGTTGAAGCCGCAGCAGGGGACGGAGCAGGCAAAGTCGGGGATGGAGCAGCATGAGCACGGGACGGAGCAGCAGCAGCAGCAGGTGACGGAGCAGGCGCAGCAGGGAGCGGAGGAGGTGCAGCAGGGGGCGGAGCAGGTGCAGCAGGGTTCGGAGCAGGTGCAGCAGGGTTCGGAGCAGCCGCAGCAGGGGGCGGAGCAGCCGCAGCACGGGGCGGAGCAGGCGCAGGAGGGGGCGGAGCAAGCGTAGCAGGGGGCGGAGCAGGCGAAGTAGGGGGCGAAGCAGGCGAAGTAGGAGGCAGAGCAGGCGCAACATGGGACGGAGCAGGCGAAGCTGCAGGCAGAGGTGGCGCCACTCGAGGATGGGTTGGATAAGCTGAATGAGGTGGCGACCTTGCTGCTGGATGGTGCAGTAATGGTGATATAGGGGAATGAGGTGATCTTGACGGAGGGAGTGAGGAAGGTGCACGCGGGGTTGGACAAGATGCGCGAGGCACTGAACCTGCTGAAGGACAGCACGGAGACGAATCTCCTCCCGATGGTGAAGGAGCTAGCGGATGCGCTGCTGGAAGGGATGATGGGACTGGGGGGCGAAGTGGGCGCACTGGTTGACGCGGCGATGATGGTGGAAGACGGGATAGTAACGCGTGCGGAGATAACTTCTACAACGGGAGCTAGACTACGGGCTAGGCACGGGTGCTTGTGTGATCTCTGCGTTCCTTGTTCCTTAGTCGTTTTCCTAGTGCACACACTGCTTGCTAGTTTACGGGGCAATTCGGCAAGAGTTTCACTAGAGAAAGTTGACAACAATGATACAATGAGGTTAGCTAGGCTAGACTACATCAGAGCTAGGATGCAAGCAGGTCGACTGCCAGCACAGCACGGTCGACCGCGTGCCAGCACGACTTGGTCGACCGCGCTCCAGCAGTGCAGAGTCGCGGCTTGCCAACGCTGCAGGTCGACGGCGTGACAACAGCGCAAGTCGACGGCGTGCCAGCGTTGCTCTCGCAATACAGCATCGCACCCGCTTCGCAGGTGCTCGCAGATGATTGGCATGCAGTGCCTCGTCACCTGCACAGCGCATACACCAAGTCAACTTCGTGCTGACGACTGCATCTGATCTGCCAGGTCGACCTCGGGATACCACCACCAAGGTCGTCCTCGCCAACATCGCCTGGGCGACCGTCGCGTGCCTTCGCAGAACCTCGTCACCCAGGTAACCTGGTCGACCAGGCAACCAGGTCGACCAGCGGCTCCTGTGCATGCCCGTCGACCCCCCAGGTCGACGACCACTCCAAGTCGACCTCACCAGGTCGACCACACCCTCGGTCGACCAGCTCCAGGTCGACGTCCCTCCAGGTCGACCACCTCCAGGTCGACCAGCATGCCTGGTCGACCACCCAGGTCGACCAGCAGTTCTGTCAGCCGACCACCCAAGTCGGCTGCCCCAAATTGGCATCACCAGGTCGACGCCCTCTGCAGGTCGACTTCCCAGGTCGACCACCCGAAGTTAGCGCCCTCCCGAAGTCGGCGCCCATGCAGTGGCTCCCTGTGTAGGTCGACCACCCACGTCGATTAGCTCGCCCACTGCTGAAGGTCGGCTGCACCCCTACACCCGACCACGAGGTCGGCTCCGCCCAAGCGAGGACGGGGCCAACACCCAACTCCCGTTGACACTCCCCTGCTGCGTTCACGCTTGGGCCCCCAGCCCACACGGCAGTACTTCTCGGAGAAAAGCTCGTCGACGTGCACCCAGCACATCGTCCACCGCACGTCGTCCACCGCACCAGCCATGCAAGAGGGCATGGCACCTACTACTGCACGTGGTCGCCGCCGTCGCCCACGTCGGCCAGATGCACTTGGCCGATTGCAACGGAGCACCGGTTGAAGGCCGGATAGTGCAGTGCCTTCGTCAGGAAGTCGGCTGGCTGCTCAGCGGTCGGGATGTACTGCAGCGAAAACTTCCCCCGCTTCACCATGTGCTGCAGCCAGGCCTGTCGCCGCTCCATGTGCTTGAGGTTGCCCGTCAACCCCATGCCCTCGGCGACTGTGATGGCCGACTTGTTGTCCACCCAAAGGACCGTCGGCCTTCCAGCGTCCAGCTGCTGGAACTCTGCAAGGAGGAAGCGAAGTCGGCGTCCCTCCTTGCCGGCTTCGACGGCCGCCACGTACTCCGACTCGGTCGACGACAGCGTTGCACACTTTATGCGCTGGCTCGACCAGGAGACCGCGGCCCCTCCGTAGACGAACACGTAGCCACCCGTGCTCGTCCGGCTCTGCTTGTCGCCGGCGTCGTCGGCGTCCACGTAGCCGACCAGCTCCAGCGACTCAGGTCCACCGCCGAACTCCAGGGCGGTGTCACGCGTGTTGGTGATGTAGGCGAGCAGCGGTCAACCTCGCGCCAGTGCTGGTCGCTCCTCACCGTGAGGCTGCTCCCCAGCTTGCTGCAGGCGAAGGCGATGTCCGGCCTCGTCGTCGTCGCCGCGAACTGCAGCGAGCCGACCTTCTGCCGGTACTCCTCCTCCTGTCGCTCTTGTGCCTCCTCGTCATCGAAGGTGAGCTCGGCGTAGGCGTCGACCGAGACTGGCGTCTTCGGGGTCCGACCGCCCTGCTCCTCGTCGATGAAGCGCCTACGCAGCTTGTCGGCATAGCCCTGCTGGTGCAGCCACAGCTTCCCCGCCGACCTGTCGCGCACGATCTCCAGCCCGAGGTACTTCTGCACCGGCGAGATCTCGCACAGCTCGAAGGCGGCCTCCAGCAGCTCCTTCAGCTCCTTCAGCATCGCGGCGCTGCTGCTGGCGGCGAGCAGGTCGTCGATGTAGACCAGCACCCAGCAGGTCACCTTGTCGTCGCCGACCTTGAAGTAGAGGGCCTCGTCGACCTGGCTCTTCTTCCATCCAGCGCCGACCAGCACGTCGTTGAGCGCCAAGTACCACAGCAGCGGCGACTGCTTCAGCCCGTACAGGCTCTTCAGCAGCTTGCACACCCGGCCGGTTCCGTCGTTGAAGTAGTCCGGCTGCGACATGTACAACACCTGGCGAGCTTGCTCTGCAGGAAGGCGTTCTTCATGTCGAGCTGCATCAGGTTCAGGTTGAGGACGGCGACGATGCTGAGGAAGATCCTCAGCGTGACGTAGCTGCCCACCGGCGCGAATGTCTCGTCGTAGTCGGCGCCGTACACCTGCGTGAAGCCCTTCACGACCAGCCTTGCCTTCTCACGCTCGACGGTGTCGTCGATGTGGTACTTCGTCGTCAGCACCCACCGGTTCTTCATGACGTTCACTCCCGGCGGGCGTTCGACCAGCTCCCACGTGCCCATGCTGATGAGGCTGCGTATCTCCTCCTCCATGGCGGCCTTCACCGCCGGGCCCTTCCAGCTCGCCAACGCCTCCTTCACCGTCATCGTCGAGATGTCCCAGCGGTGCTCGGGGTCAGCCAGCATGTCGGGGTCGAGCTTCGGAAACTCCTCATCGTCCTCGGCGTCGTCGTACAGCAGGTCATCGCCATCCTCCACGTCATACACCGTGGTGAAGGCGGCGGGAACGAAGAAGTCGGGAGGCCTCCGAAGTCGGCCTGTACGCCGTGGTCCAGGCTGGGCTTCCACCGTGCCACCGCCGGTGGGCTCCCCTTCATCTTCACTGACTCCGCTGTCCTTGTCGTCCTGCTGCACCTCGGTCGGCGTCCCAACCGATTTCGCCCCTGCGGTCAGCTCCCCTGCTGACTGCCAGGTCGCCGACTGCTCCTTGGTCGGCCTTGTTGCTGCCTGCTCCCCTGTCGGCTGCGCCTGCTCAGCCTGCTGCTTCCCCGGCTGCCCCTCTGTCGACTCCACTTCCATGCCGACTTGCTGGGCGGCTCGTCGGCCACCGGCGATGCTCTTGGTCGGCGCCACAGGCGACGCCCCACTGCTCCCCTCATCGCCGGAGGCCGACATCGGAGTAGGCCCACGCAGGTCGGCGACGAGGGGAGGGGCAGGGGAAGGAGAAAGGATGACCTCGTCGTCCTCAGCAGCAAGCTCACCGACCTCGGCGAGCAAAGGCAGCGTCGCCGTGGAGGTGTCGGTGGGTGAGGTGGTCGGCGTCCGTCCAGACACCGGCCCGTGCCCCGACTTGGTGACCTCCAGCGAAATGTCCCCATAAAACACCACGTCTGACGTGGTGACCACCCGGTTGTCGGCAATGTCGAGGAGCTCCCAGCCTTTGCTCTCCTCCGACACGCCGAGGTGAAGGCCCCACTTGGCCTTCGGCTTCAGCTTGCCACCACGCTGCTGCTCGGGGACGAGGAACTGTGCCATGCAGCCCCACACGCGCGCCAGCGATGGGTCGGGCTTCGTCCCGGTTAGCAGCTGGTACGGAGTCGTCCCTGGTGTCGCCGACCGCTCCAGGCAGTTGCGGACCCAGAAAGCCTATCGCAGAGCGAGGTGCCACCAGTGGTGTTGCACGCCCATGTGCAGCAGCATCGTCCTCTCCAACTCCACCACGGTCCGCATCTCCCGCTCAGCCATGCCGTTCTGCTGTGGGGTGTAGGGGCAGGTCAAGTCGTGGACGATCCCCTTGCCGTCCACGAAGGCAGTGAACTCCTTGCCGAGGAACTCCCCTCCTCGGTCAGAGCGCAGCTGCAACACCGACTTCTTCGTCTGCCGCTCCACCAGCACCAGCCACTTCTGGAACTCCAGCAGCACGTCCGACTTCTTGGCGACCGGCTTCACCCACACATAGCGGGACTTACGGTCCTTCAGCAGCAAGAAGTACAGGCTGCCGTCCTTGGCAGCCACCCGGAATGGCCCGCACAGGTCGATGTGCACGACAGCCAACATGTCGTCGGCGTCGGAGCCCTGGTCGGGGAAGGTGTGCCGCGCTAGCTTCCCGCCGACGCACGAGACACACGGTGAGTCGGCGCCCGTCGCCGACTTGAGGTCCAGCCCAATGGCGACCTCGTGCTTCGCCGAGCTCCTGATGGTGTCCATGCCGACGTGCGCAAGCCGAGCATGCATCCTGTCCGGCGTCGACTTCGTCTTGGAGACGATCGCCCGCAGGGCCACAACCTCCGGCGTGGGCGACGTCGACCTCGTTGAGCAGGGACGCAGGTCGGTGCAGAGGACACGCCCGGAGTACGTCGCCCGACCGAGCACCTCTCCTGCTGCCGAGACGAGCAGCATCCCGTCGCCGTCCTCCCGAAACTTCACGCCATGCTCCTTCAGCTGGCCGGAAGAGAGCAGGTTCGCCCGCACACCCGGGACGTACAGCACGTCGGGGATGAGTACCTGCTTCCCGGCCTCCCCTTGCAGCGCAACCGTGCCCCGTCCCTTGACGTCTTGCAGCGCCCCATTGAAGCCACGCACATGCTTCATGTCTCCGCTCGGCCCCAAGTCGACGAAGGCGTCCTTCGTCCCCATCAGGTGGTGCGAGCAGCCGCTGTCGAGCAGGACCACCGCCGGGTTAGCCTGCACAGCTGCCGCCACTGCCTGGAAGTCCTCGCCGGCCTCCGGCGCCAGCGAGACGGTCGGCTCCACGACGCCGACCAGAGAGCACGACGCCGACTTGTCGTCCTGCCCCTTGCCGCCAGCAGAGGAGTCGGCGTCCTTCGCCGAGGTCGACGACTTGGTCGACTTCTTCTCCTTGCGCGACTGGTTTCCTCCTCGACGAGGACGACGACTGCCAGACCTCCCGCGGCCTCCCTTGGCGTCGTCGTCGTCGGAGTCACTACGGTCGGGGCACTCGAAGGAGAGATGGTCGGGGTCGCCGCACAGCCAGCACTCCCGACGTCGACTTCCTCCTCCTCGACCGCCGTCCTTGGTCGACTTTTTCTTGTCGACTTCCTTGGTCGACTTCGAGCCACTGCTACCACCGCCGCCAGACTGTCCACGCTGCCCCGGTCGACCGCCTTGCTTCGCCGGGGCGACGTAGTTCACCTGCGCCAAGAGCTCTTGCATCGCCTCGTCCTGCAGGATGTACGAGGTCAACGTGTCCTCGTTGAGCGTCGCCCGCGTGCTCGGCGCCATCGACAGCCGCTTCAGTAGGTTGTAGCTGCTCGGGAGTCCCTGCATGACATGGGTGATGTACGACGCCGTCGAGTACTCCTGTCACATTTGTCTGAATGTGAGAGGGTTAGTTCGGCGAGGAAGGGAGGTGTACATAATGTACATACTGTGAATAGCGAGCTGGGCAGTGCCGAGGATGGGACGCGAAAGGGTGGGGTACGAACTGGAGTGGGCGGGAAGGCGAGTGGGCGAGATGGATGTGACGTCTGCCGAAGCGAAGGGTCAAGGAATGCATGGCAGCGGTATGGGGCGGTACTTACGTAAGAGGAGGGCGAGTGCAGGGTGGAATTGCAGAGCATGGCAAGGGCAGACGAAGCAGAGGTTCACACTGACACTTGGATGAGTGTAGGCATGCATGCTTGTTTGTTTTCCTGTGTGTGCAGGCAAGCTCTCAGGAGCCAGCTGGAACAAGAAGTGGCAGCTGGAGGCAAAGTAGCCAGAGGCGGGTAACATAGGTGGCAGGCAGTGGCGGTGTAGATCTTCTCGAAGGCAACCTTGGTAGCTAGAGAGGAGATAGGACAAGGCAGTGGAGACACGGAGGTGGCAGAGCTGGTAGAATAGGAGGAACCTGATTGAGCTAGCCTTAATGCTTGTATGTTTCCTTTGTGATCACAATTTCTTGCACACTGACGAGCAAGGAGTGAAGCGAGGAGCCATTACAAGCAGCAATGTGATTGATAGTAGATCGAAGATTGATGTGAGCGAGCCAGAGCTTATCACTAAGTGTAAGAGCGTTATAAGGGAATAGCTGAGGCCAAGGCTGGTGTGAGCAGCAGGAAGCACAGAGGAAGCAATGGAGTGCAAACCTGAGGTACAGAGGAAGGAGAGGCTAAAGCAGGAAGACATAGAGAGAGAATGAGCAGGAGGGAAGAGGTGGGATTCCGACACTCCGCGCCGGCCATCCTGATGGTGGCGAGAATTCGCCGGGCCCGGTTGCAGTAGTCGGTCGCCGTCTCCTCGTCGCCCATACGCAGGTGCGTCAGCTGCCCCTCCAGCTGGGCGATGAACAAGTCGACGATGACTTGGTAGGTCGACGATGAAGTGCCACGCCTGGTGGCCGGCGTCGAGGTACTCTCGGCACCACTTCAAGGCGATCTGCACGCCCGGCGAGCAGCACCGTGAGATGACCGTGAAGGTCAACAGCTGCACGGCGCGGAACTCCGCTCGCAAGTCGGGGTCGTCCGGCGTCGCCACAGTACCACGAGCAAAGTTGATCAGCCCGGCCATCTCCAGCTGAGGCTCGATGGCCTCCTTCCAGGTGAGTATGTCGGGTCGACCGACCAGCGGGGGAGTGACCAAGATCCTGTCCGGCGTAAATTTGAAGTAGCCGTAGCTCGGTGCAATCCCACCTGCTGTCACCTGGGTCGCCGACATCGGCAAAGATCCACTTCGCCGACCTCCGACGTCACCCTGCGAGGAGCCTGCAGCCGCCGACGACTGCATCCCTCGCGCCTGAACGCCGCCGACTTCATCGGCGTGAATCACACCACGCTGCCTCGACGACGTGCCTCCCGCACTGCTGCCGACTTGGTCACCACCGGCGTTGACGCCCACGTCGACGCCGCCCTCGGTGTTCACCGGTCGAGGAGATGCAGGCCGAGAAGGAGGGTGTGCCGCCACCCACACAGAAAAGATGCCAGCGTCGACGACCGCCCAGGGGAGGTCGCCGAACTCCTTCGCCTCATGGCGTCTCCTCGCGCTCTCCAGCCGTGCCTCCAGGGTGTCCACCACCCCCGTGTCACCTACCGCGTCTACCATGGTGACCACCGCACAGCTGCCGGCCTACGAACAACTTAGGTAAAATGCGACTAAGTCGACGAGAATGAAAGGTAAGTCGGGTGCCGTCCACGCTCACCGCACCATGCGAAGATAACTCCTACAACAGGAGCTAGACTACGGGCTAGGCACGGGTGCTCGTGTGATCTCTGCGTCCTTGTTCCTTAGTGATTTTCCTAGTGCACACACTGCTTGCTAGTTCACGGGGCAATTTGGCAAGAGTTTCACTAGAGAAAGTTGACAACAATGATACTATGAGCTTGGCTATGCTAGACTACATCAGAGCTAGGATGCAAGCAGGTCGACTGCCAGCGCAGCACGGTCGACTGCGTGCCAGCACGACTTGGTCGACCGCGCTCCAGCAGTGCAGAATCGCGGCTTGCCAACGTTGCGGGTCGACGGCGTGACAACAGCGCAAGTCGACGGCGTGCCAGCGTTGCTCCCGCAGTACAGCATCGCACCCGCTTCGCAGGTGCTTGCAGATGATTGGCGTGCAGTGCCTCGTCACCTGCACAGCGCACACACCAAGTCAACTTCGTGCTGACGACTGCATCTGATCTGCCAGGTCGACCTCGGGATACCACCACCGAGGTCGTCCTCGCCAACATCGCCTGGGCGACCGTCGCGTGCCTTCGCAGAACCTCGTCACCCAGGTAACCTGGTCGACCAGGCAACCAGGTCAGTCAACCAGCGGCTCCTGTGCATGCCCGTCGACCCCCCAGGTCGATGACCACTCCAAGTCGACCTCACCAGGTCGACCACACCCTCGGTCGACCAGCTCCAGGTCGACGTCCCTCCAGGTCGACCACCTCCAGGTCGACCAGCATGCCTGGTCGACCACCCAGGTCGACCAGCAGTTCTGTCAGCCGACCACCCAAGTCGGCTGCCCCAAGTTGGCGTCACCAGGTCGACGCCCTCTGCAGGTCGACTTCCCAGGTCGACCACCCGAAGTTAGCGCCCTCCCGAAGTCGGCGCCCATGCAGTGGCTCCCCGTGCAGGTCGACCAACCACGTCGACCAGCCCGCCCACTGCTGAAGCTCGGCTGCACCCCTACACCCGACCACGAAGTCGGCTCCGCCCAAGCGAGGACGGGGCCAACACCCAACTCCCGTTGACAACGCGGCAGCAGGAAAAGGTGGCGGAGGGGTCATTGAATCTCCAAGAGGCAATTGAGCTGATACAAAAAGCCATGGGGCTTCTTCGGGACGGGGTGGTAAAGCTGCTCGATGTGGTGACCAAGGGGTTGCCGCAGCATGGGGCGGAGCATCCGCAGCACGAGGCAGAGCAGCCGCACCATGGGGTGGAGCAGCTGCAGCAGGGGGCGCAGAAGGCGCAGCAGGGGGCGGAGCAGGCGCATCAGGGGGTGGAACAGGCACAGCAGGGGACGGAGCAGGCGGAGCAGGGGGTGGAGAGCCAGCAGCAGCCTCAATAGGAGACAGCAAACGATCCGGCAAAGCTGCAGGCGGGGGTGGCTTAACTCCAAGAGGGGGTCGATAAGTTGATTGAGGTGGCGCCCTTGCTTCCGGTCGGCGCAGTGATGGTGATACCGGACGAAGGGACTGAGGAAGGGCTAGACAAGATGTGAGAGGCACTAGACCTACTGAAGAGCGGCTAGTTGACGATTCTGGATGGCACGGAGACGAATCTGCTCCTGGACGTGAAGATGAGATATCTCCGCACCTCTAGAATCCGCGCACCTGACAAACTATTGCACCAGCGCCTCGATCACCTCTCGTGCCAAACGCTCAATATTTGCTTCACTGTTGAGGTTTTTTAGCCTGGCGCAATCTTGCGCACCGATAGCTCTAAAATGAGCAGCACATTGTAGCTGCAAACTTGCACTGTCTACCCAGAAGCCGCACTAACTCATTGGCCATTCCCCTGCTAGACTCAAAAACTAACCACTGCCCGAATCTACACAAGGTGTACATCGATTTCCTTGTCGTCAACCACTGCAGACTCAACGATGAAGGCAATATGCTCATCTTGGTAGTTATCCGCTACGTCTAGATCACGAACGTTCGGTAATGCAGCAAGGGTGTTCCACCTTTGGCGGCTCACACACAATGCCATTTTGGAAAGGATTTGGAAATTTGGCAGACAGACAGCGCTGCTGAGTTTCAAAGCAAGGAGCTACAGGATTATCTTGGGCATAAGGGAATCCTGCATCACATTTCGCTCCCTTATGCACAAGGAGTCGCTAAACGTATGAATTGCACACTCATGAAGGAAGTGCACGCGCTGTAGAGGCCGTTAAAACCCACCGTTACCTACTGGCCGTATGCAATGCACCACACCATGCGTCTGCACAAAATTCTCTCAACAACGGCAGCTATCGGCATCTATCGCCACATATGAGGTGGACAAGCAAGAAGAGCGATACCTCCATGCTCTGGATGTGAAGGTGTGTGGTATAGTATAGACCCCCAACGTACAATGGCATCACCTACGAATACAAAGCGTCAACCAACTTTGACCTCCTAAGCAAGAAGATCGTGCACACACGCAACGTGATTTTCTACGAAAGGCTCACGCTCGCGCGGTTCCGTGCGTATTAGCATGTAATTGTGGATTTTGTTTACGCACATGGCGAACGAAGCTACTCAACTCCCAAGGGCGAAGCTGCACCGACGATACTAGATTGGGATACCTCCAACGAGTATTCTGACATCAATCCCCATCGCGATGACGACGATGACGAGTCGCCTCCCAGACCCACGTGAAATAATGGCAAGAACCCAGCGCTACCAGCCCCAATTGCGCTAGAGAGTGACAACGACAACGACGTATAAGAAGTTATTCCTGAACATCACTTCAATACCACAGTCTCTAGGCAGCAGCTGTTGTGGCTCCACATCGGAACATCCCTGACCGCACGGGTCATTGTACCAAGAAATTCGTAGCAGGCTTTACCAGCCCTTACAGCAAGGAGTGGTTCGCGACAATGGATCCAGAGATAAGGGCGCTTGAGTCACGCAATACTTGGGTGTTCATTAACCGAGCAGCAACCAAAGAAACGCGCGTGCTCTCGAGGAAGTGGGTGTTCCACGTGAAAACCACAGTTGATGATACCATCGAGCGTTTGAAGGTGCATTGGTTCATGCATGGGTACAACCAATACCAACCCCTATGAGCCGCCCACACGCCCTGCACGTCCTACTTGCCATTGCCGCAGCAAGGCACCAGCCCTGCCAAATCGATGTGAAAAACATATTCTTGTATGTGTTAGTGGACGCAGTCATACTTGTGGAACATTCGTTTGCTTTCGGCGAAGGGGACTCACGTGTATGCCAGCTTAAGAAGTCGTTGTACGGGATCAAGCAGACACCAAGGCTATGGCATCAACATCTGCACAAAATCTTGCTCGAAATCGGCTTCACCCAACTGCTGCACGACACATGGGATGTACTGCCACAATTCTGCAGTTTACGTAGTCAATCTACTCTACACAGTGACCTCACAGTTAACATGGACGCTTTACCTCACATAGGGACGAGCAATACGCTTCTTGATCAGTTTGAAAAGAATTTGGCCCTACGCGTTGACATTACCACGAACCATAGCGTGACGCAGTTCCTGGGACTTAACATTCCTACGCCCCAGAATCCATCCACCTTTCAGCCTCGGAATACACTGAAACACTTGAGAAGCGTTCAACATCTTGTTGGCACCATCATCAACCCCTTGCCGCATGCATGGACTGAACTACAAGCCGGCAGCAAAGCCATGTACCTCGCATAGCAACTGGGCAACCTTCTCTTTGCCTCTGTACCCTGCAGGCCCGACCTCTCCAACATCGCAAGCCAACTGGCTCACTCCTCACGCAAACCAATGGCTGGGAACCTTCTAAATCTTCAACTCGCTCCACAATTCTTCGTCTCCACACCAAACATCGGACTCTCCTACTCCATGCTCGCGACTCCATCATTCGACCTCGTCGGCTACGTGGGTGTCAATCATGCCGCTGATTCCGACAATCGATGATCGAGAACGGGCTTCCTGTTTCGACTCGAACCAACAGGTCGAACTCCTGGAATTTCTAGAAGCAGGAGCTGGTTTTCATGTTCATCGGTGGAAGCAGAATTGATCACCGCGACAGTAGCAGTTCGCGAATGACTTTATTTGCACAAGCTCCTAGAGGAGGCAAGAATTCTGACGTCGCCAACCTTCTGCCTCCACTGCGACAACCAAAGCGTCATCAGGGTCGTGGAAAAGCCCAGATTCTTCAATTGCAACAAACATGTTGCTCTGCAAAATCCTGTAGTTCAAAATGGATATGACGTACTGCCCCACCGGTGACACGGCAGTCAATTTCCTCACGAAGCGACTGCCCAGTCAGCAGTACCAATCTGAACGGAGTGGCCAAGTGAGTCAAGACCTGCTAAGGCTAGGAATGAAGGGGGGTGTTACGATAAGGAAAAGATGACAGGCTCGAACCATAATCAGGCATGAATGCAAATGACCATGACGATGCGAAATGTTGCGTACGATCGGAGCATCTAGACGGTCATCGTCAGACACATCGAGCAGTTGCATCGCCAAGGAAAAAGGCGGGAACATGTTCAAAACCGGTTTTCGTGCCACACGATTTGATTTCGTTGTAATAAGGGAATGTACACCTTATAGTACATGGCCAGTTTAGGTTGTTTTGTATTCCTCGCATTCTATATATAAACTTATAAATTTATATGTTATACCGTAATCACTTTAGTCATTATACATTCACTCTGAAAAGAAGTGATTTTACTCCAGTTCCAATATCACTCTGCGAACAAACCAGAGGCTAATCATGGCTCATGTTGGAATTGTAACGGAACTCATGGCGACAAGCTAGGGCAATGTCTGTTATTGACGACAGTGTGAGCGTTGTTTCGCTGTCATTGACAATCCCTCCCTGGTTGGGTGAACCTAACTATGAGTCGAATTTATCTACACCAGACTTTGGGAGACCCGGATGCACTAGACATCCCGACCCCGCGCTCTTACGCTGAGGCAATTATGGGTCCCTACTCCTCTCAGTGGCAAACAGCCATGGACGCAGAGATGGCATCCTGGAAGTTCACAGGCACTTACGTCGACGCAGTTCCCCCTCCTGGGGCGAACATAGTCGATGGCATGTGGATTTTCAGGGTGAAGCGGCCGCCGAATACTCCGCCTGTTTTCAAGGCTCGTTACGTCGCACGAGGCTTCAGTCAGCGACAGGAAGTTGACTTCTTCCAGACCTTCTCCCCTACCCCGAAGATGACCACTCTTCGGGTGTTGCTGCATATTGCCGCTCAGCATGACTACGAGCTTCACTCCCTTGACTTCAGCACAGCTTTCTTACAGGGCAGCCTGCACGAGGAGATCTGGCTGCGCCGCCCACCTGGCTTCACTGTGTCGTTTCCTCCTGGTACCCAATGGAGCCTCCGGCGGCCAGTCTACGGTCTCCGCTAGGCGCCTCGTGAGTGGCACGACACACTGAAAACAACACTTGCGGCTCTTGGGTTTGCTCCTTCCACTGTTGACTCGTCGCTGATTCTTCGCACCGACACTTCGCTGCCACCGTTCTACATCCTCGTGTGCGTCGACGACTTGGTCTTTGCTACTGCTGACACCGAGGCACTGGCCCTTGTGAAGTCGGAGCTGCAGAAGAGACACACCTGCACAGACCTGGGTGAGCTGCGCAGCTATCTTGGCTTGCAGATCACCCGGGACAGAGCACGGCGCACCATCACCCTAACTCAGTCACACATGGTGCAGCAGGTCCTTCAGCGCTTCGGCTTCACTTGGTCCTCGCCACAGTCCACTCCTCTGGCTACCGGTCACTCGCTCTCAGCTCCACATTCGGACGAGTCCGTAGAGCCGAGTGGCCCGTATTCAGAGCTTGTGGGCTGCCTCATGTACCTGATGACCTGCAATCGACCTAACCTTGCCTCCCCTCTTAGCATCCTGGCCCGCTACGTTGCGCCTGGGAGACACCGGCGAGAGCACATGGATGTTGCTAAAAGGGTGTTGTGCTACTTGTGCAGTACATCGGGCATGGGGCTCGTGCTTGGAGGACGGGGTCCAGTTGTCCTCACTGGACACTCAGACGCGTCTTGGGTTGACGACCTGGCTACGCAGCGGTCGTCACAGGGTTACACCTTCAGCATTGGTTCCGGCTCTGTTTCGTGGCGGTCTACCCGCTCGTCTTCTGTTCTCGGCTCCAGTTGTGAGGCTGAGATCTACGTCACAGCCATGGCTGCACTGGAGTTACGCTGGCTCACCTACCTGCTGACCGACTTGGGAGAGCTTCTTCGTTCTCCTAAAGTTCTGTACGTAGACAACAAGGCCGCCATTGCCTTGTGTCAGGAGCACAGACTGGAGCACAGAACGAAGCACATCGCTCTTCGTTACTTCCTGGCTCGAGAGTTACAGCAGCGTGGTCAGCTTCGTCTTGCTTAAGCGGCA